TCGGCATTCTGACAAGGATGTTTTATCTTCTCAGACAGCATCACAAACTCTCTGGCGCACTGGAATGCTTTCAGAACCAATACCAAATGGTTTTTATTCAGTCATTCCGGTGAGGATTGATTTATATATTACTTTCTTAGTGCTGCAGATGTCTATTTGCTAATTCTAGAGTTGCTAATAATCTTTTGTTGCATACAATTATTGATGATAAATTATACTTTAAGAGAGATATATCAAAGTTGTAAGGTTTTGTATTTGCTTTTGCTTTGTTGCATATTCCAAAATCTGCATTCTAACATTGATTTATTCTTTTATTGTGTTAGTTCCTGTGCTTGTTTTCTTTGCAATTTTTAAGCATGATAAATTCCTGGTATGATGCTTGGAGTAGTTCTGTTTTCAACTTGACTTCTTGAATTGAACATATAACTTCAAAATGATTTTCATTTAGGCCAAAAAAAATGATAAACTGACAATTATGTTTCACTAATTGAGAATAATTGAGTTGAGTTGAACCTTTTATATACATGGAAGATCAAATGCCCATTTGCAATAATTTAATTCTCTTTTGGTATTTTTTTTGGGTATCTTACAATGGGAGGGTTCGAATCTTGACTTTGGATATGAAATAGACTATGTTGGGAGAGAAATACTTATCTTGTGTGCGCTTACAATACCCATATTGTTGTTTAACCGAACATTTTAAATGTGTTGATTACTGAGACCAAAGTCATCTCTTTATCTTGTGCAAAGTAGTTGATGTTTATAATATCATTAAGAATATAATAATTTTATGTTGTGTGGAAAGGGAAATTCAGTATAATCTGGAATTTGATGTTAACAACAATAAATATATATTATGTATTTTATTTGCAAGTGTTATTCTGTAAATTTTCAGAATGTGGACCCAATCTAATGAAATTCATGGCTGGGAGCTGATCCTATTTCTGCATGTTCTGTTAAATATATGTGTTTTGTCATGTTCTTATGGTTATGTAGCTGTACCAGATAATTTTTACTTAGTGTTAGAGTCTTACTATGTGTTTCAATAACCTTTGCTCATTCATGGATCTGGACTTGTGTTGTTGATGGTATCCTGGTTCTTGGTGTGTGACTAAAATGATTTTCCTATCACACTCTATTTTCATTAATTAATTTTATAACATGCAGGAGACAAGACTCAAAGAACTTTTTGATAGTATTCCTTCATTGGATGAGCTTCATGCTTTGGGTGGAGAGGGTTTTAAGGCAGATATCATTCTTGTGGATTCAGAGAAAGATAAAAAGCTATCCATGTTAAAGCAATTGATTGTGGCATTAGTTAGAGGATTAAACTCAAATCCAGCTGCAATAATTAAGAAGATAGCTGGATTAGTATGTATTTTACCATATCTTATTGTGTAGCCATTGTTTTGTATACAAGGATATCCTAACATATTGTTGCTTATTGTCATGCTTAGAACGTGGGAGTTAATTTTTTCCTTGTACAAAATGTATTTTACAATTTTGATGCATATTGTTTCAGCAAATGTTAATGATTATTTTCCCATACAATTTCTACAATAGAAAAGGTATAAAATTTTCAAGAAACATGTTTATTTTGAACCTATTTAGCTGGGCTGTATTAATATTATTTGCTTTCTGATGTTAGTCATGGTCAGCTACAACTTTGTTTTGAAGAAAACATTTCATTATAAATATTATTTAGAAGTCTGTTGGTGGGCATTACCGGGATAAATCAATTATGTGTGGCACCTTTCTTTTTATTGACTTCATTTATTATTTAGTTTATTTTCTAAGCATAGTTAAAGATGTTTTATGCTTATTTTGACCTCTATTTCTGAAATTAGGTTTCTGATTTTTATAAGCGGCCCAATGTGGAAAGTCCAGCAAAAGCTGCACTAGATGAAACCTCTCACTTGTTTGAGAATCGAGGAGTCCAGATGCTGGGGCAAATAAAGCACGGTTCTTGCCGTCCTCGAGCTATCTTATTTAAAGTATTAGCTGATACTGTTGGTCTTGAAAGCAGGCTCATGGTGGTAAGCTCTGATTTCTGTTGATTGGCTCAGTTGCTCTCTGCAACACTGTCTATATTTGACTGCCAGTTTACTAATATTTGAATGTATTTACTAATTTACAATGCATTTAGCAAAATAATTAATGGTGAACTAAAGTCTCAATGCTGTATACTAGTTTGCCACTCTTTTCTCACCTAGTGGGATAAGGGCTTTGTTTGTCGTTGTTGTTATTCAATTTTGTTCATCATCATAACTAATTTTATAAGGATATATATCTTGTACTACCATTCTCTTTATCAGGGCTTGCCAAATGATGGGGTTATTGAGTGTCAAGACTCTTACAAGCATATGTCTGTGATAGTTGTATTAAATTCTGTGGAAATGCTGGTTGATCTTGTGCGATTTCCGGGCCAGTTGTTACCACGATCAACCAAGGCAGTTTTTATGACTCACATTTCTGCAGGAGAGAGTGATTCAGCAGAAAACGATTCTTGTGATTCTCCATTAGAACCAAACAGCCCCTTATTTGGGGTTTCAGAGAGGTTAGATCCTAACAGGTTTAAAAACTGTTGTTATTGTTGTTTGGGCTTGATTACACTTTTGTTCCCTTTAAATTTGATTATGGTCGCCCTAATTTTAATTACAACAATGTTATGGTGTCGTTAGTAAATTGCTGCAATAATGTTGGAACACTTATTTCCTGATGTAGTATTGTGGCAATTCATCTCCAACTCAGCAAATTCAATAACAATATGAGTTATCATATCATGAAGTTTTATGTCATGTTGGAAAATGGGACGACCACATCAGCATCAAACTGATGGGGACATGATTTTATCAACTATCAAATAGAATAACATTGTTGCAATCAAAATTGAGGGATCAAAATTAACATAACACCGGGATCAAAAATGTTATAAATCCATTATCTTTTTTTTTTTTTTTTTCCTTTTTCTTTTGATTATGCATTTGCCAAATAATTGTCAAGTTGATCTTGCACTGAACATTTGATCAAATACAACTTTTCTGCATTCTCAATAATAAACAAATTGTGAGATTATAGGTACAAAATTTTTAGACCTCTATCTTTATCTCTTTTCTTCCGGTTACAAGAGTTGTCATTTGATTGATATTGATTTCGTTTTCCCCTCTGACAGTGCTGAGAAGGAGGAAAACCTCCAATTCCATAGAAGATTTGATGCATCTTCAAATGTATCAGGCATTTCCTTGAGAAACATGATGTTACGATCAAATAGCAGTTTGAGGTAATACTTTCCATTGCTTATCAGCCATTTTCCATGGTGGCTTTTTCTCATTGTTTTCATTTCAGTTGCAGATGTTCTATTTTTTTCTTCACCTTAGATTTTGTTATATTAGTGTTTTTTTTGGCGTATACTTGGTGAAACTTTTTGACTGGAATCTGTAGAAGATGTACACTGCTAAGTACCGACTGTTTCTTGTTTGAATGGTTTTGCCAATTATCTCAGTTTGTCTCATAGTGAACCCAACATTGCCACTGCATTTGGTCGGCGTAGTCGGAGAAAGGTCATTGCTGAACAGAGGACAGCTAGTTCAAGGTTATTCATAATTCCTTCTTGTTTTGAAGTGGTGTGGGTTTCATAAGTTTGGTTTAGGTTCAAAAAGCACGATCTATTGATCTTAGTTTTTGTTACTTTGTTGATCATGATGCTTAAAACTTATCTTTTTGATTTGTTTGATAAAGCCTTTAACTTTGATGGCTAATTGAGTGTTTTCTTGACCTTGGTTTGCACTTCTCTTGGTTTCTGTCTGTATGTGAAGGTTTAGAGTCAGGATGAGCTAGAGCCTATAGTGTTTGACACTACTACAAGGCATAGCTGTAGATATGGTTGGCAAGAACAACTATGGAATTTTATATGAAATTGTCCTGTACCCAATTTGATAGGATAGATTTGCTGATTACTCTTTCCAAATATGGAATGTTTGTTTCTCATATTATATATTTTCACAAAAGTAATGGTTTTGGTCTGTGAAATTTACTATTGCTCTATCATAGATTTCTTCTTCACCTTTGCTTGGAATTGACGTTGGTTGCATTCTTCCACTACCCAATGATTCTTGGAAGTAACATAGTTGAATTGACTTGACATATTTAATTATTGATTTTGATTACACATGAGGCTCTTTGTCTGGTCAGACTGAGTGAAATTCAGTATAAGTGTATCATAGTTATTTGTGATAGGAAGAAGATCAAGAACAAGAATCATATCAGGAGAAAGTGATCATAAATTGCACATGATTATTTGTTATAAAGAAATATTTCTTGTCATTAGTATTGGCAGTTTATCGGTAGAGACTTATTACTCATTGATAATTTCATGGCTTCAGAAAGTTGATGTTTGGTCTCTATAGTCTTCATAGAGTATTTGGACTTGTAAAAGTTATGAATTTATGACTAAAGACTTTGCTCTTTTGGGTGTGGTACTAGATGACTACCCTAATTCTAAACATGCACTAGTACTTCATGACAATCATTGGATTAAAAATAGTTTCTGAATATGTATATGTATCATTTTGAGAATTTAGTGGCGAGGATATCTGATAAGAACTAATTATTCTATCATAATCTAACAGAACTCCTAGTACTAATTTAAGGGCAGATGCACTTTACTTGTTCACTCTAGAGGAGCTTTTTCATTAATATTTTTGGTTAAGACTTGGGGCATGCCAAGTTTGTCTTTCAAATTGGTCTATGTATATTATCCTTTTGCATTTAGTTGCAAAGGATATCTAAACAATCTCCAAATTCTACATACTAATTTTAAAAACTTATTCTCATCCTTCTCTTCTGTTTGAAATATTTCTGTTTTGCAGTCCAGAACATCCATCATTTCGAGCACGCGGACGGTCCATGCTTAGTGGTGATAGGACGGCATTTAGAGATTTTTCTGATGACCAGGCCACATCAAGGTTTTAATCTTTATTTTATCCCTTAATATCTGCTTTTGCTCTGTTATGTAAAGTTATAGGGCCTTGCATGTTTTTGTAAGTATACCGTGTCATTAATTGCTATCTGCTTTAATTATTTACTAGGGAGAAAGAGGCACTCTGTGCCTCTCTGTTAAAAAATATAAAAATAATATTCAAAATGATAAAGTGATAGTGTGTGCTGATGTTAACTTTATAATAGTGGTTAGTTGTTTGTAGATTATAGATTATAAATTTATTGCTTTTGGGTTCTCCCTACATTCTGAATAAAAATCACTTGCTAATAAATTTTTGTTTACCAAAGCTTGTGTTGTCCTGTCATGTTTTTCACTTTCATTAGTATTTATTATAAAACAATTTATCGGTATATGTACCTGACTTTTATATTTCTCAGATCCAGCTATAGGTCAGATGGTGCATCCTCATCAGAAGCTCGTAGGATACGAAGAAGAAGCATCAGCATTACACCAGAGATTGGGGATGATATCGTAAGGTTGATTGTTGTTCTAAGATACTTCTGGATTTATGCTTGCTTCATTGTGAAGTGTGCTTTCCTTGGTATAATGTGTTATCTACTTTGAAATGTTTCAATGTTTGAGTGTGAATTGCCGAATTTCCATTTTCAAGCATTTGTTCTTTCACGTGATTCCTTCCTTTTGGGCATATGCATGCTCACATGCTTTCCTGAATATGTTAAAGATGATAGCTTCCCTGGATCATTCTGTTCACTGAACATATATTATTTTTGGTAGGTGTCTAGTTAATCAACTTTTTTTGTTTTTTAAAATATTTTTTTTCAGTTTTTTCTTTCATGTTATTTTCTACATTTGGTTTTACATGTTTAGAGAGCTTGATTTTTTATTTTCTCTTTTTGTTATTTAGCTTTGTTGGTTAACTGACTTTTTTGTTAACTTGAGACTATTACTCAGTTTCATTAGTAGAAAATGGTGTTGCAACCGCAGCCAAACTCATCAAGTAAGGGTTTTCTATATATTTATCTTAAAATCTCATGAATGAATATCGATGCGCCGGTCAGAACTGGTAGTTAGTATTTATGGAGGTTCATAAAACTTGGTCCAGTTGTAGCAAACATAACATCTTTTGGCATTTGAAGCTGGATGTGATTATTTGTGGAGCAATGATAACATCTTTTGCAAGTAGAAATTGGATGTTATTCATTTCATTTGTGGCTTTTTTGGGTTATCGTTCTGTACTATGATATTTTTCAATCCAGAGGTAAATGAATTGTGCTGTGATATCATTATTTAAACTTACCCTTTTAGAGGTTGAGCCTTGTGCAGGTGGGTTCTTACAACTGAAACAGTCTCTGCTATTGGGGAGGGTTGATTAATAATACATTTGACCTGCAGACCTTTAAATGGTGGAAGCCTTTTTCACCGGGCTGCCCTTTTTCTGGTAGTTTTTGGCCTAGCTTGTATTGTATGGGCTTCTCTTTATTTCTCTTTGAAAGGAGAAGCTGGGTCAGCAACAATTTTACAAAACTCTTAAAAATAGAGCTTCTAATGAAAGCTAATTGTCGGAGCTTCTACATTTAAGAAGATAAGCCTAAAAAGATGGGCCAAATACTACCTTACCCTGCCTGTTTGGATATGCTCTTCTTTTTTCTTTTTTTTTCTGTCGTATATGGAGCATTTGACTTGAATGTAATGCAAAGAGGTAATTCCTTCTGCACCCTTTTTCAACATAGGGTTTTGGTGCCCCTTAAAAAAAATCACCAATGACATTTGGACATGCATATTAGTTGTCCACGTCATGGTTACCCTTGAATTTTTGACCGGGTCTCATTAATCTGAATAGGGTGGTTGTGTCAGATTGATATTGAAATTCATGATTGCAATCTGCTGTTAGTGTTACACCCCCTTTGCAGGCACCATGAAATTGCAGTCTCCGATGAACCAAAAATTCTTTCTCAAAGAATAGCATAAAAAAACTAGTGAATTTTTTTGTTTGAAAGAATGCATCTAAACTTGGAACAAACTTTTACAGCCACCATTTCCTTCGCAGCCACCCTGAAATTGTAGTTTCTGATGGACCAAAAGTTCTTTCTCAAAGAAAAGCATGAAAAACCAATGTAAAACATGTAAACCTGAACAAACAACAGCAGATTTGCATCAACAAAATAATTCAATAAGCATCAATAGTGTAAACAAAGAAGAAATAGAGGAGAAACAAAAAATAAAAACTACAGAAAAATGAAAAAATGCTGGAAACCGCTATGAAGTCTCTGCAGCGATTCCCAACCATTATAAGTGGTAGTGTCCTTTTCTCCTCTCTCCTCCCTTTCTTTCTTGTTTTCTCTTTCTCCCATGTCTTTACTTTTTCCGCTCTTACTCACACCACTACCATTCCTCTCCTTCCACCCTCCTTGGTCACACCGCTCTGCCCAACTACATGTCTATATCTGCAATTTCAATTGCTGTGAAGGTCGACAAGTTTGATGGCAGAGAAAAGGAATCCGTCATTGGTGTTTCACAAAGCAAAATGTGAAATGAAAGAGGGATTCAGAACAAGGACAATGAAGAAGTCTTTTAAGGGGAAACAGTGGCTGTGAAGGGGGTGTGACGGTGGATTGTGCGGATAGTGGATTTCAAAATCAATTGGATATATGCTACTCCATTTGGGTTAATGAGACCCAGTCACAAATTTCAAGATAACCCTGATGTGAACAACTAAAACACGTGTCCAAACATCATTGGTGCTTTTTTGAAGGGCATAAAAACCCTTTGTCGAAAAAGGGTATGGAAGGAATTACCATGCCGAAAATCCTAGTTGCAGACCAGATATGTAGTTCCTCATTTATGGAACAAACTTTGTCCTATTGAAGGTTCAAGGACATGGATAGGTCACTTGGGGGGGGGGGGG